ATTTTTCTTTATTTATTTTATGCCTTTCAGCCAGTATTTGACTCCTGAATAGTCCCTAAACATTTTTTTTTTGGAAGTGGTTTGCCATTGCCTGCTTTTCTAGGGCTGAGAGAGTTTGGCCGGCCCAAAATCACCCAATAGGCTTCCTCCCTAAGCAGAAATAAACACTCTCCCAGTTTCTAGCCTGATGCCTTAACCACTATGCCAAACTGGCTTTTAAATATTCCATTTGTGCATTCTTAATTTTACAACTTGCTGTTTGAGGGCTGCACAAATTGTGTTTTTCCACCCATGGTGAGAAATTCAATTCTCCAAAAACAACATCAAGAACAAGGAAGAAGAGGATATCCATAAACAGTTCTCATGTCAAGCTCATTTTTATTCTTGTTTTACAAATGAGAGATAGTGTAAGCATCATCCCTGCTTAAGCAGTTTTAAGGTTACTCAAACCTCACAAATTCCTTGACGTATGCTTCAGACGGCATCTGCTAGACTCTTCCATTCAACTCAACTATCTAACCTATAACTTGAAGATCTGTGATATAGCCAGGGCTGGGCTGCTATGGGTTCGCTCGGGTCTGGGAGAACCCATAGCTAAAGTTATGGCTGGTTTAGAGAACTTCCAAATCCCAACTCTGGCTGGCCCCGCCCATCCCACCACACTCCTCCCCTCCCAGGAGTCTCCATGCAGCCCGTTTGGATGTGAGTTAAGGGCAGGGTGCATGTGGAGGCTCAGGGAGGGGGGAAAATGGACCTCCTAGAAGTTCTCGAAGTTCCAGAAGTGGGTCTATTTCCAGCCTCTGGAGAGCCTCTAGAATGCGGGGGAGGCAGTTTTCGCTCTTCCAGATGCTCAAGGAAAGCCTACGGGCCTGGGAAAGGTGAAAATGTGTCATCGGCTCCCCCCGCCGCCGCCGCCACTGTGGTGCAGGAGATCAACTAGGCCACGCCTATCATGGCCACACCCACCCAGCAGAGAAGCCATTGCTAAAATTTTTGAAACCCACCCCTGGATATTTCTCATTCTGCACAGAATGAGACTATTAATGTCTTTGCTACAACAGTAATTATGAAGCTACCTG